ACTCAAATCGGTGCCCGTAAAAGCTTCACATCATGCTAATGTGTGTTTCTGAATTCAAACAGTTCAAACTCGTCATAGATTGTTGATTTTAATTGACGAGTTGGGTTTTGGAGACACACACACACACACACACACATGCAAACTCTCATCATTTTTTCACATTTTAAAGAAAACCGAAATGCTCCGCTAGCCATTTTGCCTGCTTGTTTGCTGATGCATAAAGAAGCGAGCATGTTGGCTGTTCTTAGCATTACTGGCATTAGGTGACAGAAGTCAAATGCTATAAATTTCTGTCTCCCGTGTAAATGATCACATGCTGTCAGCCACGCTTGTCAAATTAAACGTTTACCATAGTTGGTAAACATGCCATTCCATCTTAGCTCTGCACTGCAGCTTTCACGCTGTCAAACGTGGAGACGTAAGAAACAGTTTCTGGTTTTAAGAGCARGAATCCACAAAAGAAAAAAAAATTGGGGAGATTTTTTGTCACCTTTAATGGAACACCAATCTGATCAAGTGGGTATCAAATGTAACAATTGAGTTATTGTAGTGGAGATAAAYGAACCTGAGGGTCTTTCTGTGTTCTTCAAACTCAGCCAATAAAATCATAACCCTTCATACTACAAATTTCAGTTATCCCACTTCCTCTCACTTTAATGTGATTTCCATTTGATTGCTTGGCATTAGACAGGGGTTAGAGTGTGTGACATTATAAATGCTTGTTTATAAGACTGTAGCTGCAGGTGATATTTCTCTGCAGTTTTTTTATTTGTGCTGCACTGTAACKATTTCCCACCAAGCACACACACAGAGCCATCTTATAGTACATTCTTCAGACACTGCAAACTTCATTTTTTTGCCACATTTTTGTTTGTTTCTGCACTTTGCCAGTAAAAGGGAAACAGTCCGGGGAAAATAATAACTTTGTTAGTGATTGTACAGGAATCTCAGCTCCAGCATCGTTGTTGCAGCTTGGGTAGATTTATACTCACAAACTCACGGACACTCCCGATCTTTCTTGTGAACTCTGCCCACATGCTGCTCCGTCTTACTGATATTATGTGCTTTAGAAACTGGTGATAGAATTCCTTCTAATTCCAGTTTTTACACTTTTGATCAGGTGTTTGCATCAGTYGCTTTGCTTTTCTTCACAGCTGGTGCTGTGYTGCAAACCCGCTYAGTGTTTAAAAGCAACTCCTCTTCRTCAGTACATATATGCAGGCCCTAAATCTCTGGTCTAGACCATGGGAAGTTTTACAGCTAAAAATATCATTTTAAAGATGAGTTAAGAGGGGAGGGAGGAAAAAATCAGCAGCTGGGAACTACTTCTCCACGACAGGCGCAGGCTTTAGTTTAGACTTTTTTATTTATTGTCTGCAGCTTTGTAGCAGACAGTGAATAATGTATGCTCCAATACAGTATTAGATTAACAACAGAACTATATCCAGGCGCAGTCTGTGCKTGCACATGTTGGTTCCCATCAAGTCAAACACTTACATCAACAAATATCACACAAATTTAATAACGAGGAAATAAAGAAGCTTTCTGCTCATTAATGAGGCAAAGCGCTGACAAACTCATTCTTCTCCTTCTGTCCTTCGTAAGCTAAGATTCTTTTTCAACACATAATGTTAGAAACGGAAAGTAAAAATAATAATAATCATAACATTTGGAGCTCCAATGCCCCAGTAAGATTAAAGGCCTGGCATTCTAATAAGGCACATGCATCAAACTCAAGGGTGACTTCAGTCATGTCCAGCAATGAGGCCTTGCCCCCGCCTCACCAAACATCATACTTTTTTTATAAATGTATTTAAAATAGATTTTTAGATCAATTCTAAACTTTAAATTTAAGATTCAATGCAACAAAATAAACTAAATAAAAAAATCTAAAATGTGAAAGATACTGGTCCAGCCCGAGTTGTTGGATTTGAGTACCTGTGGACCCCTGAGAAATTTAGTTGAACTTAAATGTTAATGTGTTTAATGTTAATGTTGAGTTTTAGTGTCTAAAATAAGCAGATTTAAAGCCAGCATCGACCATAAACTACATCTCCCATAATGCRTGCTGATTAGTTTACCTGCAAAATGACGGCGTCTCACTGGGGATAGTTACTAGTTCAGATAGTCCAGAATTCAAGATGGCAGCTACACATTACTTAATAGTGAATAAAACTCTCTTACTTTTAGTTTTAGTAGCATTTGTCTATTATTTATTTAACATTTAATCAGTCGTACATGTAGTACTTTTCAGTGTTAAAACACTGTTTCTATGCAGGAAATACCACATAGAGCTCAGTGGTGCTCAGCCGTAGCTGTAAGACAATAAATGTGGTTTTTTTGTGTTTAGTCAAAGTTAAACATGAAATGTCAAAATTAATTACATGATGATTCTGTGGCCCTCAGTGAAAATGAGTTTGATGCATATCACCCACTGCCTGTGAGCATTTTACCCGAGATTATCTTATATCGAGAAATGATGGAATTATGTATGATCTGCTTCGTCTCGTCATTTGGGTTAGCACTCAGAGTGTGTGTTGAGGGTGACTTTCAGCTACTACCACACCACATTTAAAAATAACCAGAGTTTTAGCCATTTTTGTTCTGACTATTGTCAGTTACCTGTGGTGGCCATCTTGAACTGSGGTGGCTCCAAAAGTTAATCGGTTCTAGATGTACTTTGAATGATTACTTCCTGAGAATTTTATAAAAATCCATCTAGTGGTAATGAAATATTTTGCTAACGGACAGACAAACAATTGCAAACACACAGGCAGGGGCAAAAATATTGCCGCTTCRGGAGCAGGTGATAATTATTCATATGGTAAAAGAGACACACACATTTCACTTACAGCAACAAAACCACAAGGTCAAACTTTTAAAGGGTGGAAATTGGAATTGCTGTGGAAATTTTCTAAATAATCACCTGTATTCCCCGTGTCCACATAATAATAATAATAAGCAACCTAAATTTAGGCATACGGCGTATATAGGTTACTGAAGGTCCCCGTGTGTTGCCCTCTATTTTTTGCCAAAGTGGAAATATTTTCGGGAGGTGCAAATGAAGTGCCTCGCAGCCGCATGTGGCCTGTGAGCCGTGCAGTGAGTAACCGGGCCCCCACAAGCTGTGCCAACGTCTTGTGTGCCAAATGTGCGGCGAGAGGGTGGCGTGAGCAGTGTGCCAGCGCTAGTCTGCCTGGCTGCCAGGCACTTCTCTTTATCCAATCAGACAGTTCGGCTCGAGTGAAACCCCTATTCTTGTCTGTTCCCATCTCCTCCCGAAGCTTTGTAACCCTCAGATGAAAAACGCAGATGTATGCGAGCRTTTTCCCCGCTGCCTCCTCAATGCACAGTTTCACCCAGAGACCATAACCAGAGAGTGAATAGCACAGAGTATTCCCTTTTTTCTTCTTTCTTTTTTTTTGTTTTTATCCGCCGCTGCTGTCTGCTTCTATTCTTCGTTTTTCTCTCTCCAAGACAAAATCAAAAGCTAAATGAGCTTGCCTCAGTCTGTTTTTTAAGCATTTCATCAGAGTTATAGAAAGATGAGTTTGTCAGGGATGTCTGAAAAAAATAAAAACGCTGCCTGTCTGTGTGTGGCTTTATTGGACATGATGAAGGATGATATTATTGTGGATGCTGCTTCTGCTGCGGCTGAGAGATGAGGAAGAAACCCATTTGTCTCGCGCTCGCTTAGTGTAATGTGTCTATCTGTCACTCTCCACCAAGACCGGACGTTRGCGTTCATCAGAATAAGCGTAATGTCAACACCGTCGCTCAATTTTTGTTTTTACTGCCGGTCGTTATTGTTAATTTTCTCCCCCGTTGCCACTCTTCACTCCTCGCCGTGTCTAATCCAGGACAATGAGTAACGCCGCGGAGATTGCATAATTTCCCGGCATTATCTAAAATTACAAACGAGAAGGGAAACGCTAGCCCGACAATAATCCTGTGATCACAGGATGATTACGTGGGAGTGAGGTGCTCAGGAAGAAATAAGTGTGAAGCAGTGAGAATATATATTCTACGAGTAATTACTGGGAGTAGATGAGGTTCAATGAGGAGGAGGTGATGTGCGGTACTTGCTGGAAAGATTAAGCTAATGTCAGTTATGCTCTTGTGTCTTCCAGGTGGACGACGCCATGCTTATGTTTGATAAGACTACTAACAGACATAGAGGTAAGTGCACAGCTTCTGCTCTCCTTCAACACCACCCCCAGATTTTCTTTTTTCCTCTGTTTTTTTTTTASAAAAGTGAGAAAACAGTCATTTTATGTCCTTTCCCCATGAGATAACACAGAACAGTTCCATTTCACATGATATTAGGTGTACCATCTGTTCAACAATGGGAGCGTGTCAAAGTAATCAATAAGCTGGTACGGTGTTTAGAATGTTTGAGCGTCAGATGCTGGGTGTCTATATGTGTGCGTGGCTGTGATGATGCTGGTGTGAGTGTTTCAGAGAGGTGCTTAAAGGGTGTAAAGATTGCGAGATGGTTGGTGCTGTGCAGTCAGATAACAGCATCAGATAAGACCCAGGAGAAGCACTGACTTTATCACTCTATCTCATCAGCTCCTTATCTGAGATGAGGGGACGTTTCTCTCTCAAGCAGAGGACTTTCCAAAGACAGGTTTCCTCCCTGCGCCACAATGCAGTGTCGGTGCGTTCAAAGTCCCGCAGCGCAGTTTTCTTCAGGCCCGCTTTAAAAAAAACAAAAAAAGGCACCAAAACTGGCCCTGCGCTGTGCTTTGATTGGGTTTTATACTGTAGGTGAAGTAACTTTTTTTAGGCCAACGAACTGTCACAGGCTGTTTACGTGGGTGTGTAGCAGCAGTCGGCAGGCACTGACAGGTATTCAACGAGAAAAAGGGGCAGACACTTCTCTGGTTGTCACACCAGTCAGCTCACTTGTAGGCAGAGCTGCCATCACGCCGTCTCTTTGTGCCGGGACTGAGCGCTTTTCTGCCATAAAGGTGTAAATATTTGTTTGCAGCAAGCGCCTATTCTTCTCCAGCCGTATAAATTTTTAAGTGCAGTCGGCTTTAGATCGAAAGTGGTCCCGTGTTTTTTTTTCCTGCTTCTGCTGGATCTGTACGTGCATCAGTTGCTGTGTGTGTGCGTGTGTGTAGTCTGTGTGTGTGTGCCGTGCAGATAAACTGAGTCTGGTAAACAGTTCCTAAGTGTGAAACATGTGAACTTTAGTGGAAGTGATCTATGGCTTTGAGGGGATTTTGATCTGTAGTGACAGAACCCAGTGTGAGGTCTGCTGTGAGATGGAGGCTTTTCTCGCAGTCTCTCTTATTTTGCACTCTTCGCTCTCCTGTCTGCTGCACTGCCAGCCCCTCTCTGAGAGGCTCTGGGCGCCACACTCATAGTGTGTGTGTGTGAGGCGTTTGCCTTTGGGCAGCCAAATGCCCTTCAAATGAAGACAGTGATGGAGAAACAGCCTCCTTGGCAATTTTTTTTTGTTCTGATGACAGCGGGCATATTTATATTGAGCGTGACATGGTGGCAGGAGGCAGGTGCACTTCCTCCTGCAGTTTCAGTTTCATCCACCCAGCACTTTGAGATTTCGTTTCAGTAGGAACAGGAGGTGTTTGTTACTTTTATCCTAAAAGCAGAACAGGTCCTCCAAATGAATTACATATAATATTAAAGGCCAATGAGAAAGTTTTAATAATTTATCAGAGCCGTTGGTGCAGATGTGTAATATTAATGGCTTAGCTGCCCTGTGACCAGGAACGAAAGCACATTGAATGTAATATGACCGTATTTTCGCGCCTGGGCTCCCCTTCACCATACACCTAGAGCCGGTGATGGGCATCTGGCAGCTCGCAGCCCAAATCAATTTCCCACCTGTTTCCATTTTATCTTACAGATTGAGTCATGAAAAAATAATTCCCTGTTTTTCTGCTGCGCTGCAGTTGCTAAAAATAACACATTATTTATTCAACAATTCAATCGTAAGACTAAATAGTCCTTCTTGGATTGAGGATGGCATTTTTTAATTATTTTTTTTTCATAATTGCAAGCTCTTGAGAGATCCGTTCACTTGAAGCAAATTGTGCTTTTGAAGCAGCGTGCACGTTTGTTGTCTTGTGCACCTGTTTTACCTGCAACTCTGCACTTTACAACRTGACGTAGTGCTTACGCTCGGAGTTCTGTTGACAGCTGTGACAAAAAAATGCATAAAAAACGAAAAAGGAATGGGTGGAAAAGGGCCCTGAATCTAGCATGACTGTTTAATTTTACATTTGTCTGGTTGTGTTTTTTTTTTATTACCAAGTTGACCTCTTGTTGCTGTCTGACTTTACATCTCATCATTTAAATGCTTCCTTTGCCCTTTATTAACCCTAAATCTGTTTTGGTGCATTACACTGGCGTTTTCTGTTTTCGTTGGAGGAGTGCATTGTGTATGAGATGCATGATCGACACTTGATTATTAGTGTGTTTTCTTTGGGGCTGTGGCAAATTGGATAGAGGACAAACGTCACACTCGACTAGTAGCAGCATTGTCCTTCAGATGGTCCCTGTGAGCCTAGCAGAGCGACAACCAGAGGAGACATTCTCTACCCTTCTCGTTTTCTCTGCACTTTTGTTTCCACTCTCTATCTCTCGCAGTCATTCACTCTTATCCGTTCTTCCTTTTCTTCCACACAGTCGCACTATTTCTGTCTTTGCACCGTCCGCCCAATCCCGCCTGTCTTTTGCCATCTCCTGTCTTTTTCTTTCTGTCTCTCTGGCTAGAGGACACTGGCTGTAAGCAAAGCTCCACACAAAGGCTGCACACCATCTTCTTGGCATTTAAAGGATGAGAATACAGCCAATTGTGTTGGAAATTGAACTCTCTAAAGCCTCCCTTCCCACCGCAGCAGTTCATTGTGGGTGAGTTCAGTGTCTTTGGTGAGCGGCTTGAGCTGTCCAGAGGTTGATGCCAGAGGGCGCCTATTGTTCCGTGTTCCGCTGCAGTGTCCCCACCACTCCGCCTCCATTCAACCTTCCCTTCTTCCCCTGACATTCATCTCATGACAGAAAAGAAGGGGGAGACGAAAAAACCCGTCAGGAACGTGTGCATTTGTCAGCACTTATTTTTACAGGATGTGTTTAACTTGTCTTATTTCTGGCTGGTGTATTCAGCAGCACAGGAGGGTCCAGATAACAATGTGTTTGTGCACCAAAACCAGGCCTGGGACAGGGCCATGAGCACATGTCGCAGAATGCACATACCTGTCATCATCCCCAACCTCCCTCCCCATGACTTCGGGACGACAGGATGAACTGTGTGGGTGGGAAATGAAAGCTTTTTGGAATAGCCCTGAGTCAAAATTGTTCTGTCATCCTTTACCACCTCCCATCCAGGAAGCTGACACATGATCTATGATCTAAAATGTGATTTTACTGTCAAACACAATTGGTAGTGCCAAGGAAAGTGTTGCTGACGTGAGAAAAAAAAAAGGCATCTCTTAAAGAGGATGCGATGAAAGAATGGCAGCTATCACTCTCCACCATAGCATCACAGATTAATTGGCAAGACACACAGACAGGAGACAATGTTTGCCTTATGTATGCCACCCATACAGTAGGTTGCACATGTATTCACCCCATTTGGTACTTTTGGTGTTTTTTTACAGGAGTCTTATAGCTTAGCTTGCCACATCTTTTGTGTGTCTGAGTGTATTTTTATCACTCGAGTCAATTCTTTTGCATTGTTTCAAAAACCTTCTCAGGTTCTTCAACAGCCAAAAATAAAATCCAATGTTCTCTGCTWATTCAAGATCATSCATCACGYCGGGGTCACCAAATTGTTGGAAAAATATGCATTGTTCAAAATGGTATGTCCAAATAAACAGGAATCCAACTGGATTTCTTCTTAAAAACTTTATTTTCAGTCTTCTGTCTCTAATCAGGTTCACAGTACAGCACCCAGCAGGCCTTAAGACCTTGGGCTCATATCAAGAAAACCCAAAGAAAGCAGAGCAGCTCTGGTCTGAGCAGAGACTTTTCAACACACTGACAACTTCCTTTACTATAAAAATGAATTGAGCTTATAATATATTTTTCTTCCTGGTTACACCCCGGAGGTGTTACGTTTTATGTCAGATGTTAGAACGTAACTTATTTTGTTTAGGCTAAAGAAAGAACATATGATAACACACACACCAACTCTTTGTCTGCTTTAACCTTACAGACTGAAATTATCAGAAAGTATAAAATACAAAACTGAATCTAAAATTGAATTAATCAGATACAAAATTTCCTTCAGTTTAAGTGGTAGACTACAGTAAAAAAAAAAAAAAGGTTTGTTGTACCTGTTTAGGGACAGAGTGCAGGGATGGGATCAGGGTGGTCCTGYCTTTTACCTCAGATAAAATGTTTTGGGCAGACATCAACTTCATCGTTGCACATTTTCCAGTCAAACTCGCTTTGTCGCATCGCTGGAAGACAGCTGTTAACTAGCATCTTAGGTAGGAAAAGGTAACAAAAAACTACTACTTCCATGTGATGATGATGGCTGCATCCTGAGTYACTGTTACAAGTMCTGCAGCACAATGTTTTGTGGTCCTCCCGATGRACTTTGATGCCATTTTYCTAAATTTCATTAAGTTAAAACACAGCGAAACCACACACTGTGATTGAAACCACTACCAGAGTTTGTACATGCACAGATGTTGAGTGGTTGTAGTCAYGTGAATARTGTTCTAAATATAGCCTGAGTGGAGATCCCCATTACAGCAACAGGTTTCTCCTGGTATGGTACTGTGAGCTTGGCACATCTAGTTACTGGATTCTTTGTCCATTCTTTGTTGCAAAACTGCTTCATCTTTKTTTCAGGTTGGATGCTTGWGTACAGCAACTTTTAAATCAAACCAGAGATTCTCAGTAGGGTTGAAGTCTGAGGTTTGACTGGGCCATTCCAATGCATTTAACTGTTTCAATCACTGGAGTGTTGCTACGACAGTGTGTTTAGAGTCAGTGTCCTGCTGGTAAGGTGAGCCTCCTGCGCAGTCTCAAATCTCTATAAGACAAGTTTGCCTCGCAGATTTCTTGAAATGTTAACCTGATGTGTTACTTTTAGCAGGTTCCCAAACTTTCTGCCTTTTTATTTTATTTATTTATTTTTTAGCAATGATGTTTTTTTTCTGACCACTCTTCTAAAGAAGCCCAGTTCAGTGCAGCTT